CTAAGCTACATGCCTTTAATCCCAGCACTCGGGAGGCAGAGCCAGGCGGATCTCTGTGAGTTCGAGGCCAGCCTGGGCTACAGAGTGAGTTCCAGGAAAGGCGCAAAGCTACACAGAGAAACCCTGTCTCGAAAAACAAAAACAAAAAAAAAGCTAAGCTAAAGACTCCACTATATATACAGAGGACCTGGTACAGGCCTGTGTTAGGCCCTGTGCTTGCTGCTTTGGTCTCTGGTAGTTCATGAATTCTTTGAGTATTAAAGCTTATAGTCCTCTGCCTGTGGTATGTGTTACAAGTATTTTTCCTTATGTGTCAATTATCTTTTGATTTTTGTACATGGTCTTTTTGGTTTTAATGGAACCCTAGTTTTCAGTTTTCAGTCTTTTAATTTTTTTCTACATTTATTTATTTAATTTTTCTTGACTTTCCATATGAAGGTTAAAGAGGGATTCACCCTTATTTCTTCTGGTAGTTGTATACACTAAATGGTTATGTACAGAGTTGATTCTTGTATTTGGTGTGAGATGCATATTTTATCTTTTTCCCAGCGGCTACACAGTCTCCCTCATTTTGTCTTGGCAGTTTAATATGACTCTCCCACTGTGCACACACTAAATTTCCACATGTACTTGGATTTCCTTGGAGAATTTTTATTTTCTCCCATAGCTGTGTTCCTCTCGTCATGTGGTCAATGCCAGATGTTTTAAGTGCAGAAGCCTGGCAATAGCTGTAGGTCTGGTTGAATCAATCTCTTTTCATATGTGTGTTTTTTTAAAATTAAAATGTTATTGCAGTTTATGTGTATGAGTGGTTGGCCTCATAGACATATATGTCTATGCACCACATGTATGCTTGGTATCTGTGGAGGCCCAAAGAGTGCATCCAATGCCCTAGAATTGGAGTTACAGACAGTTTGAGCCACCATGTGGCTGTCAGGAATCTAGTATGAGTCCTCTAGAAGAGAAGCCAGTGCTCTCAACTGCTGAGCCATCTCTCCCACCCCATTTATTTCTTTAAATAGGCTTATTATCTGTTTTTTTTTTTTTTCTGTTTGTTTTCCCCTACCGTGGTGCTTTGGATGAGCATGTGCCCCATCATCTCATGTCTTTCAACACTTAGTCCTCAGCTGGTGACGCTGTTTGGGAAGATTTAGGAGGTGTGGCTTTGTTGGAGGACGTCTGAACTGAGGCATGCTTTGAGAGTGAAAGACGCCCATCATTTGCGATTGCTCTCTTTCATCTGAAGATGTAAGGCTTCTGTTCTAGCCACCCTGCTCCAGCCATGATAGACACTTATCCCTCTGGAACTGTAAGCCCAAATAGATTCTTCCTTCTATAAATTTCCTTCTGTTTATGGTAGTTTTTTTATTTTTCTTTCTTTCTTTTTTTTGTTTTGTTTTGTTTTGTTTTTCAAGACAGGGTTTCTCTTTGTAGCCCTGGCTGTCCTGGAACTCACTCTGTAGACCAGGCTGGCCTCAAACTCACAGAGATCTGCCTGGCTCTGCCTCCCAAGTGCTGGGATTAAAGGCCTGCACCACCGCTGCCTGGCATGTCGTGGTGTTTTATCACAGCACAGAAAAGTAACTAATACACCCACTAATGTTGATAAGAACTTGATATTGAAAGTTCATATAATTCAATTATGTGATGCTAAATTTAAGGGAAGCAGCTGTTGGGAGTCAAAAGCACATTTGTATTAATCCTGAGTAGTTCAACCAATGGGAGTTCAGTGATAGAGACAAGGGAAAAGTTGAGGACCAAACATCAGTAGCCCAGATACAATGAGGGCAATCTCAGAGATGAGACAAACTCCAGATAAGTTCTATATCCTGAAGTCCTGGTTGGTTGGAGCATCAAGATTAGATTAACAGAAGCCATAGCCAGACCTAGAAGGACAAGAATTATGATACTTGAGTGCAAGCATGCTTTATGTAGGAGCACACATATTCTCCCTTCCGGTGAGATACATTGTCTTATACATTTGGAGAAGTTCCCAATCCTTTGTTCAAACTGCCAGCAACCTGACCTTAAAGAATTTAAATACAGGGCCAGAGCGATGGTTCAGCAGTGAAGAGAACTGACTGCTTTCCCAGAGAATCCAGGCTCGATTCCCAGCACACACAGAGTGGCTCACAACTGCCTGTAACTCTGGTTCCAGGGGATTACATACACTCTTCTCACTTCTCTGGGCACCAGGCATGCATGTGGCACACATGTGCTGGCAAAACACCCCATATACATAAAATAAAACTTTCAATAAAGAGTTTAAATATGTTCATGCCTTACATATTTCTAAAGTAAGGTTTGATTTTATCCCTGGGGAATCTAAGTTCCTTCTTGGAGAGTTTAACAACTTGTAACTGAAAGTTTCACATACATTTTAAACAGCCCCTTTCCCATCACTGCCCACACATTTACCAAAATAAACAAGGGTACCCAGCAGGCTTCGCTCTGATTTGCATAGCAGCTAGAGTGATGCAAATCCTCACATTCTCCGGTTATTTCAGCCCTTGGGGGGATGATGCAGGGTTCCTTTCCTCAAATACCCTTTGGCATGATGTCCCTGCCAGAGATCTCCCTAAAGCTCCGTGGCTGCTGAGTAAAGATATCGGATGAATTACAATCCTGACTTTAAAAATTGGGGAGACAGTTTCAGCTTTGATTTTTTTTTACAATAAGAAAACACCCTAGTCCTGAGTGGAAAGTGAGGACTTGTGGTTTAGCATCAGCTGTGGCTTCTGCCTCACTCCCACCCAACTCCTGGCTTGTGAGGTTCCATCATTCCCACCCTTCACTCAAACGCATTGCACTTGTCCACACCTCTTCCCCCCACACAAGGAAAGCAGACTCAGATGTTCCTCTCCAGCCTACTATAACAAAATCATAGGAATGACATGTGCTGACTTAGTGCAGACTCCAGCATAGCATGTGGTCATAAACAGGTCTACTGTGAAGGAAAGCCATCGCTTCTTAACCCTAGGCAGAATCCTGTCTTGCTCTGAGCCCAAAGCAACTAGGTTGGAAGTGATGCATTCCAGGTCATGTGCTTGGTTGGATTAAAAGGATTGATACCAGCCAGTTAATTGTAGAGAGAAGGGAAAGGAAGGGGAAGGGATTCCTGTCTGCAGAACTTTTAGCTGGCAGGCATGATTAGCCCTTGCTTCAGGTAATGACTCTAGCACTTAGGAACAGTTCACTTCTGTCTGTCCCTGAGCTCATGATAAATTCAGGTGCTTTTTTTAAAATTACTCAGCAACCAGAACAGTGAACTAGTAGATGCCCAAGAATCATTTGCTTATATGATGCTCAACCATATAAGACTCAAAGTCTGACCCCTAAATAATTATCTTCAAAGTTTCTTAGAACAAGGATATTTTCTTTAAAAAAATTTCCCATCATGCATGCAATGTCTGACCCTGAGTTATGTTTTTGTGATTTCTCACATTTTGTTTCTTCCCTTGTCTATGTCTTTGGCTGACCCCATGTTTAGGAATCCTCATAGCAGAACTTGGTCCTGTAGATCTTTTCAAAAGTCATCCTGTCCCTGAAGAGTAAGCATACTCTATTAAAAATTCTAGCAAAGCCTAATGTCAACTGAAAACGTCACTCACATTTCTTTTAAGGATCCTTCCCCAACCTCAAGAAGAGACTTCTCAATGGAGCCACATACATGTGCCTCACATTTATACTACAAAACCATTGAGACATGCTGATAGAAATTAAGGCGAGCCATTGCCAGAATATCTCACATATAAAAGATTAATGTCATCTAAAGTCAACACAGAGGTGTGAAAAGCCATACTTTTATTGGAATGATAATAAACATTGTTAGATGTTCAGTTAATAGAGCCAGTCAATAGTTCAACTATAGGCATTTACTAGTTGTAACTTTTTAGTTTAATTTACTAGTTGTAACTTTGGCTTTCTCTTGCGTACTATTTAAATCTTTCTCTTCCTTTCTTCCTTTCTCCCTTCTTTCCTTCCTTCCTTTCTCCCTTTTTCCTTCCTTCTCTTCTTCCTCTTTTCTACTCCCTCTTTTCATCTTCAGGATTATCATTTCTTGGTTGTCACTGTTTAGAAGTCTTCATAGCAGCAGCCTGCTTCTCTTGGTGAGCCTTGTGATGCAATGCCCTCTACCTACTGCCATCAGTTTCTTCTGTTCGTGCTTTCTCAGCAACAGAAAGTACCTGTAAACAAGTTGTCCTTTTCAACTTAAAGGAATTTCCTGAATGTTCATGTATCCTTACCACCAAATAAAGGGGAGATGTATTTGAAGGGAAAGGAATTAGCAGCTTGAGAGGCTCAAGCAGTCTGGCTCTGCCGTTCTTGGGTTGTGGAGCTGGGCCTCTGGAGAGGCAGGTCTTCATTCCCCCCCTCTCTGGTTCCTGGACCTCTTCTCTTGAACTGAAGATCCAGGAATGTCATCTTACCTAGCTATGATGTGATCTCAAGCCTCCTTGCTCAACTTACTTAGCCAAGGCCTTAGAACTTCTAGAAAATTCAGCTTTCTTGGGGTGTGTGGCTATTTCTTTATTTCATTGAAGATAGACACTTGTTCCATGAGTCTTGAGAGAGGAATGTAAGTAAAACAAAACCCCTGCTTCTTTTACTATGTTTAATTGGAAGTTTAATTTGGAAACAAAACATTGTAACTCATTTGATATTGTAAACACAACATTGTAACTTATTTGAAATTGTCTTGTGTTTACACTTTTTTCAATGCTTGCTTGCTCATCACTGGCTTGGTTAGTCATAGACACCCCAGAGAAAACATATACTTAGATTGCTAAATATCATTGAAAATTAGTTTTCTTTCTTTCTTTCTTTCTTTCTTTTTTTTATTGCAGCAATGTTCCCATTCATTCTTGGTTCTTGTACTCTCTTTAGTGTTCTTCAATAGGAACACAACTGTCCACAAATGAACAGGTTCCATGTTGACATCAGGGAGTAAGTCACCCATTCCATCAAGCAGCAATCAACTCTTTATTACTTATTTTCAGAATGCCAGTGACGAAGACAACCTTCCTAGCTACACGTCCGTCTGATGGCAGGATTGATGACATTGGTGAGAGTCAGGTGTGCGGGCGACCTGTGTATCCACGTTACACAAAGGTTGGTGAAAAACAACCACAGTACCTGATGGAGAAAGGCAAGTTCTGTTGGAGAATTTTTAATTGTTTTCAATTGTCCCTTCACTTGGTGGTTCATTCCAACAGCCTTGGCTACAGAAATAACAGTTGAGTGTAGGCTACAAATCATTTGGTGCCATTTAATATTTTTCTGCTTTCTTCAGAATATCAAGAGTGCTGTTCTGGATAGCTGCTTTTGTTTGCAGACAGGCATAAATGAAGAGTTACGGAGTCTATTTCTTTCCCAAAGGCATATTCTCAACCCCATGGCAGGCTCAGGTACTGCATTGCTCTTGATCTCCTGTAGGGTGTTGTAGCACACCAGGACACAGCTCCTTGTCTTCTTTGAAGCAGCAGCTCTTACAGACTCCATTTTGGTTTTGAGCTTTCTGTTTTTTCTTCATAAACAGCTTCCAGAATGAGACTGGAGTGTGCCCAGGATTATATAGCATTTTGTAACTTTGGTGAGACAAACAACTTACTCCTCAATAGACATCATCTTTTTAAAAAAATTATATCCCTGTTCTTGTTTTTGAAGACCTCTGGGTACATCATTAAGTCATTTATTTGAGGTATTTTGAGTTTTCAGTATAAGCACTTAGCTATAAACTTTATTCTTAGAACCATGTTAGCTATTCCTCAATGGCTTTTGTAAATTGTACTTTCATTTTCATTTGATTCTAGGAATTTTAAAATCTCACCCACAATTTCGTAATGATCCACTAGTCATTGAAAAATGTATTGTTCAAGTTGGGTGTGATAGCATACATCTCTATTCTCGGTGCTTAGGAGCAGGGGATGGGGAGTTTAGGGCCATCTTGGGCTACATAGTTAAGTGTGAGGCCAGCCTGGATACCTAAAACTCTTTTCTAAAAAATAAAAAGTAAAAAAGGAGAAAAGAAAAAAAACATGATACATTGTTCCATCTTTAGCATTTGTGTCATGTGTATAGTGTCACTAGTTTCTGATTTCTAGTTTTATTCTAATATGATCAATAAGGCATTAAGACATTTCTCTTCTTTTGTATTTGTTAAGACTTGCTTCATGGACTTGAATGTGATATATTTTAAAGAATGTTCCTTGAGCTTCTGAGAAGAGTTTGTATCTTGTGTTTGTTGAGTAGAATATTCTTTAGATAGCTATTGAGTCTGTCGGCTCTCTAGTGTAGTTTAACTCTGAAGTTTCTTTATTGAAGATAGTTTAGATGACCTATCTAGATGTGAGAATGGGATATGTCACCTGCTGAATTATTGGATTAGTACCTTTGTGATCTTTTATGCTCATTAGTGTTTATTTTATGAATTTGGGAGCCCAATGTTCAGAATGTGTATGCGTGAATGTACAATTGTTACTGCTTCCTGATTCATTGTTATAGCTTCCTGATTCAGTGGTCTTCTTCAGCTCTTTTGACAAGGTTTTGTTTGGAGTCTATCAGATATGAAAAGAGCTATCTAAGGTTGTGTGGGGCATCTATTTATTTACTTAGTTGTGGGACTTCCATCCTTTGACTTTCAGTTTATGACTTTTTTAACCTGTGACGTATGTTTCTTGGAGACAATAGTTGATTTTTTTTTCAATCCAGTCAGTAACTCTGTGCCTTTTGATTGCTGAGCTGAGACTATTTGCACCTAAAACTATGATCAAGAAAGGCTTGCTGTTTCCTGTGGTTTTGTTGGGTGTTGTTCTGATTGGTTGGATTGTTGGTACTTGTCTTCCACTCCCTGTTAGTATTAGGAGCTTTCTGGTTTGCTGTCCTGGACATGATGTACTCCTCCCTCTTTCCCCTGTGCACATCTCTCATGAAGTGTACTTTTCCTAGGTTCTCATGATGGACTCTGTTGTGCTTTCTCCTCTGTGTAGCAGTTCTTTAAGTATCTTACACAATGCAGGAATGGTGTCCGTGAACTCCCTTGGTTTATACTTGCCTTGAAATGTTCCTATTTCTCCATAAAATTTAGGAGGTATCTATGATGAATATAATAATCTTGGCTGGTAGTAATAATTTCAGGGATCAAAATATATTATTCCCTGCTTTTCTAGCTTTAAGGCTTCTGATTAAAGATCTTATGTTATTTTGATATGTTTGCCTTTTGCAGTGAGGTAGTGTTTTTCCTTTACAACTTTTAGTATTGTTTTCTAATTTACATAATTGAGATTTTTTTTAACTATAATACCATAGTATATAATATATATAATACCATCTCTATTTGAGGTTCTAAATGTCTCTTATGTTTGGATGTCCATTTCTTTCTCTAAATTAAAAAAATGCTATGGTTTCATTGAATAGATTCTCTGTGCCTTTAGTTTTAATCTCAGCTGTTTCTTCTAGCCTATGGAGTCTTTAAAAAATTTTTATTACTCTTAATTATGTGCACCTATGTGTGTATGTGGGTATGTGCACATGAGTGCGGGTGCCCAAGGAGTCCAGAGGTCAGACACCCTGGAGCTAGAGTTTCAGACTCAACACCTGTGTCACACTCAGTTGTGAGCTGCCTGACAAGGATGTTGGGAACTGAACTCGGGTCCTCTGAAAGGGCAGCAAGGGCTTTTAACCACTGAGCCATCTCTCTAGACTTGGATTTTTTAAAATTATTTATTTTATATCCATACCAAAGCCTCCCCTCCCTCTTCTCCTCCCAGTCCCTTCACCCATCTCTCTCCCTCAATCCACCCTTCCTCCCTATTCACTCAGAAAGAGATGGGACTCCCATGGGCATCAGCAAGCATTAGCCTATGAATATACATGCACACACACACACACACACACACACACACACACACACACACACACAGATATTGGGTGTTGTGGTCATACTCCCTTTTTTTTCCTGGATTGATGTTTGAATATATCATTTCTGCACATTCATATTTCATCTGGATATTCCTTCTTTTGCTTAGCTGAGTCTATTGATGATGTTTTCCATTTGATTTACTGAATTTTTATTTATAACATTTCTGGTGTGTGTGTTATTTTTTCTTTTACGATCTCAATTTTCTTTCTGGATTTTTCTTTCATGTAGCTGACTTTTCCATTCATGTTGTTGACTTTCTTAACCATTTTGCCTTTTTCCCTGTGTTGCTAAGTTTTCCTCTGAAAGTCTAGGTTTGAATTCCTCTGATTGTCTGTGTCTTCTCTGAGATCATTGGTCCAAGTGCAAAAGCAATTGGCAGCAAGATGGGGCAGAAATTAATGAAATGGGAGCTAAAAGAGCAGTACATAAAATCAATCAAACAAAAGAGGGGCATTTGAAAAGATAAACAATATTGACGACTTCTTATCCAAACTAACCTATTGAAAGAGTGAGAAAATGAAAACTGGTAAACCTGGAGATGAGAAAAAGATGTTGTAACATATTCCAGTAAAACGTAAAGGATCCCTGAAAAATGATCTGAAAAATTTTGTTTGCAAATCTCGAAAATCTAGAAGAAACAGATAAAATTCAAGATATATAAGACCAAAAAATAAATAAATAAAAGTATATATTGCTGAAGATAACACATATTCGAATCCTAGAACATAGAGCAATCAAGCTGGTATTGACCCAGAAGCTTCATCCCTACTGGCTGGCTTTCATAGTTCTCCAAGGTGCAATGCATGTGTATTGAAGGAAAAATATAATCAGAAATCTTGCCCAGCTATGAGCCTTCCAAGCTACAATAATAACTGCCTACCAAGACTTTCCAACTAACACAACAGAGGCACATATACAAGGGAAGTAAACAATCACTTTCGGATTGGATTGAAGTCCTACTCCACAAGATGAAACCCATACCTGGTACCATTATCAGGTCAAGAACACATGGGTAAACATGTCACAGGCTCTAGGTTGCCAAATGAATATAGTATTAAAATGACTCACAATGATTTATCATTATACCCAAAGATCAATGCATCTCTCAGTCCTCATCTGAGAAGCTTGCATTTTCAATAGATTGTGATTAATACAAAGACTCACAACTGGCCAAAATGCAGACAATCTGCAGAATGCTCAGCTCTAAAGGGAACTAATACTCTGCACCTCCTCCTCCCAAGGCTCTGGGATCATTGTGGAAGAGGCATTTCAAGAGCTAGAGGCAATGGATAATTATAAGGAAATAGTGTCCTTTGGGCACAGTAGGGCAGCTCCACATAGGAATTCACAGTGGCTGCCATAGTATGCACAAAACCTATGAAAATCCAAGACAGATCAAATCCCAGCAAAAACATGGGAGTGGGATAGTGAATCCTATCTATACTCATGGAGCTATTGGCAATTGCTGGCTTCTGGAAGAAGGAGAGACATTTTTCTCTAAGTGTGTGGTCCTTGGGAAGTAGCTATGCTCCAATAGTTTGGGCAGTCCTGATGGGTGAAGACTTTATAAAAGGACACAAAGTTATATGGACTGAAAAGAAGGGGTCAATCTGGAAAGAGATGGGGGAGTGAATGTTATCAAACACATTGTATGAAACTGTCAAATAACCAATAAACATAAATATAAATAATTATAATAATAAATGTTTAAAATATTCTCAATAAAATACGTGAAGATTGAATTTAAGAACATATAAGAATCATAACCCATGACCAAGTTAGTTTCATCTCAGGATTCAGAGTTAGTCCAGCATCTGTAAACTAATTAATGTGACACAAAAATAGACATAAGGACCGAAATCACATGATCAAAGATCAGCATTCTTTCACAATAAAAGTCTAAGGAAACTAGGAATAGAAGGCACACATCTCAATATTGTTAAGGCTATCCTTTATTAAGGCTATCCATGCGAAGTCTATTGCCAATAAAGGAGAAAAACACAATGATCTCTAGTCCTATACATTTCCTATATAAATATTATAATTTCATTTTCCTTCATGGCTGAACAAAATTCCATTGCGTATGTGTGCCACATTTCTTTATCTATTCATCTGTTGATGGGCATGTAGGCATCTTTTATTTCTTAGTTACTGTGAATAATGCGGTATTGTGCATCTTTCTCATTGGGACCATTAGCTCCCCAGTAATGACACAGAGACGACTTATTAATTATGAAAGCTCAGCCAATAGCTAGCTCTTATAATTTAAATTAACCCATATCTCTTAATCTGCGTTCTTTTATGTGGCTCGGTTACCTTTATAATGCCCATGCTGCTTGCTCTGTGTCCCCTGGCATCTCCTCCTTCTTCTTCCCAGCATTCTCTCTGCCCCCCGAAATCCTGCCTAGCTATTGGCCATTCAGCTTTTTATTAAACCAATCAGAGTGACATATCTTCACAGGGTACAAAAAGGCTACTCCACAACAGTGTGACAGTGAGCGTGGGTGCATATTTATTTCTGTGGTACGTTGGCTGCATCCTTTGAGTGTAAGAGGAGTGGGTAGTGAGGTCATGGGCTTGCACCAGTTTATGTGTCTACCTGTAGTGAATAGAGATTCCTTCTTCCCCACATCTTGATCAGCATTTGTTGCCATTGATTTTTGTTTTTGTTTTGTCTGTTCTTGTTTTGTTTTGTTTTGCATGACTATACTGACCAGGGTGATGTAATTTCACAGTAGTTATTGTTTGCGTTTCTCTGATGGCTGAGGATGTTGAACACTTAGGCAAGCTTATTGACCATTTGTATTTCTTCTTTGGAGAACTGCCAAGTCTGTTCATTAGTCCATTTGAAAGACTTGTTTTATGGTATTTCATTCTGCAACTCATCTTCTAGTCTAGATATTAACCCCCCACACACACAGTCTTGTTCTAGTTGGCAACAAATTTTTCTCATTCTGTAGATCATCTCTTAACTTAGATGAATTGTTCCTTTTCTGTGCGAACGCTTTTTAATTTCGTGTAATGTCATTTGTCAATTATTAGAAATTGCTTCCTGTGTGATGAGAGTCTTTTTCAGGAAGCCTCCGACTATGCCTATGTCTTCAAGTATTTTCCCCTATGTTGTACTGTAATGTTTCAGGCTGTCAGGTCTTACATTAAGGTTTTTTGATCCATTTTGAATTGATTTTTGTGCAGGGCTACAGAGAAGGATCTAACTTCATTCTTCTTCATGTGGATATCTGTTTTTCTAACACTGTTTGCTGAAAAGGCTTTTTTTGTGTGTGCCCAATGTATATTTTTGATATCTTTGTCAAAATTAGGTGCTTTTAGCCGGGGTGTGTTTTGGAGTCCTCTCTTCTCTTTCACTGATCCGAAAGTCTGTTTTGTGTTGATGTCATGAGGTTTTTGTAACTATGGCCTTTAGTAGAATTTGAGATCAGGTGTTGTAATGCATACAACATTGCTCTTACTGCTTAGAATCGTTCTGACTGTTCAGGGTTTTCTGTGTTTCCATATGAATTTTAAGATTGTTCCCAGATCTGTGAAAAATGTAATAGTAATTTTGATGTTAAATGTGTTGATTTTACAGATACCTTTAGTAATATCTGTTTTTATAATTCTGCCAATCCATGAGCATAATTGTTCTCTCTGTCTTCTAGAATCTTCATCAAATGTTTCTTCAATCTCCAAGTTTTTATCATAGAAGTCTTTCACCTCTTTGGTTATATTTACTCTTAGGTATTTCTAAAGCTATCATATGTGAAACTTATTTTTCCTGGTTTCTTTCTCACCAAGAGTATTATTGGTTTGTAGAAAGGCTACTAATTTTTGTATGTTGGCATACTTGTGTACTTATTTTAGTTTACATTCTGCATATAAAAGAAAACATGATATCTGTACTTCTGAGTCATATATATTTATATGTATCTGTTACATGAGTGTATGCATGGGTCACAAAAGTAAAAAGGGGACCATAAGAAGAGAGAAAGAGAATTCAAGGAGAGAATAGCAGCTGGGGATATCGCTCAGTTGGTAAGAAAGAGATGCTTATCTTGGAAGCATAAGGCCTGCATTTGGATCCCCAGCAACCATTTAAAAGGCTAGCATGGAGACACATACCTGCAATACCAGCAAAGGAGAGGCTGAGTCAGGGCAATCTCTGAGACATTCTGACCAGACAGTCTTCAGTGAGAGACCCTGCCTCAGAAGTAAGGTGAGGAGTGATCAAGGAAAACATTCAACATTGACCTCTGGTCTCCAAACAAGTCCTCCCAGATACAAATACACATACACTCACACACCCGAGACAAAGGGAAACTGGAACAGAGGGTAACTGAATCTGTGTGACACAAAGCAGAAGAAAGGGTTGGCTGGTGGAGACTTGGGAGGATCGAAGGGAGGCGAGGAAGAACAGAGTATAGCGACACATAGGTATGACAGTGCTGTGGTGAAGCCAGTCACACTGCACGCTAACCAAAAAACTAGGAAAAAGTAACAAAAAGGAAAAAGTAATATCCTTAGCTTCTCCTAGGGTTTGAATATCCTCCAAAAGGCCATGTGTTGTCCCTAACTCACGTAGTCATATGTAGACAGCATTTGGAGATGGGGCTACTGGGAGGAATTAAGATTAGAGATGATAGGGTGGGACCCCAATGTAGCACTGGTGGCTTTACTTGAAGAAGATAACCTGAGCTAACGGGATTTCACTTTCACTGAACCTGGTTGGTAGAGTAAGGCGCAGCACCAAAGCCCCGCACAAACACAATGCAAATGCCAACACAATGGTCTCGAATCTCCAGTCTCCAGAACCATGATCTCAATACTATTCTTCATCAATTACTGTATTTCAGGTGTTTCACTATAGAAACAGAAAATGGACTGTTTCTAAGTTACTTTTATTTTTCATCCACAGAGAACTGCATATACTTTTTGTTTTAATGAAAACTACTTTTTATGAGGAGAAACCATAGAAATACAACACACACATTAACAAGAACAACGAAAAGCCCAGTATGGTCAGTGACATTGTATGATAAAAAGAAATTCCTAGTAGCAAACAAACAACTCTTCGAGGAGGGGAAGTTGAGAGTGCTGACGCGGGGTGTCGAGTTTTGGAAGGACATGGGAAAGAATCAGTATTGACAGGAAAGATTTGCTGAGTGTCTAAATAAAGCCGTAGTTGAAGTGAGCATTAGTTAAAAAGTGTTCATAGCCTCAGAACTGTATTGAAGTAAAACTGAGATTGAGATGGTCCCCAAGTGCTTAACAGCCCTCGAATGAAAGTGAGGAGCCAGTACTGGGGGCACTGTCTGGGGATGGATGCTCAGGGAACACTGTGCACATGTAACCCCAACAGCTCCTTGGATTTTACTGAGGACAGGTGCGTTTTCATTTGTGTGTGACAATCTTGAGCAGCGCAGTCTTAGCAGCTATGGCCTCGTTAATGAATAACCCTTGCCAATCTTGATAACATGTGACACACCGTTTCTTCAAATCAGATGGGCAAGATAAAGGCACTTCTTGTTAAATCAGGGATGCCTTTAACCTCAGTTGTGGTAATAAGTTTTTGACAGTTTGCCAAGTCATGGAGCCTTGTAAATCAACCTGGAAGCCCGTCTATTGCATACTTCTTTTTGAGCTGTATGTTTTCTGGTTGTTTCTGTGGTTTCTTTAGGTCTGTGGTGGTATCCATGAGAATGGCCTCCATAGGCTCATGTCTTTGAATGCACGGTCACCAGGGAGTGCAACTCTTTGAAAGGATTTTAAGGATTTAGGAGGCATGGCCTTGTTGGAGTAGGGTGGCATCATTGAGGAAGTGTGTCACTGCCGACTGGGTTTGGGGGTTTCAGAAGCCCAGGTATGGCCTCAGTCTCTGCCTGCAGCCTAGATATCAGGATGTAACGTTCTCAGCGATTGCTCCAGCACCATGCCTGTCGGCTTTCTGCTGTGATGATCATGGCTGACCTCTGAAACTGTAAGCAAGCCCTCAATGAAATGCTTTCTTTCACAAGCGTTGCCTTTGACTCGGTCGTGGGGTCTCTTCACAGCAATCAAAGAGTAACTAAGGCTAGCTCTGGCCGGTGGCTCCCAGCCCGTAGGAACGTTGATTCCCTTTACTTCTTTGTACTCTCAGTCCCTTCAGAGCTGGAAAACTCTTCAAACAAGCTTTCAAAGGTTATTAAACAGGAATCAGAGACTTAGTGTGAACATCGGCAGGGATTGCTGTAGTCTCTCATGTGGAGTGGGAGCCGTGTGTGTGTGTGTGTGTGTGTGTGTAAAACTGGTACCTTTTGTGCTAGCTGCCTGATGTCTAGCTGCATTGTGTACAGCTGTAGGGGGGTTTGGGATAGCATACTTTAAACCAGAGGATGAATACAAATAGGATGACCTTATTGTCACTTGCCCTGGGGATCCCAATACACTGCGAGTATAGTGAGGGGCAATGGCCTCTGTTTTTTTCCTAAGTAACTGAGCAGTGGGAAATTTGTGGTTGGGTCTTGGGGGGAGGTGTGACCATGAAACTGACTTGCTTGGGTGACTCTGGATTGGGAGGATTTAGCAAAAGAAAGATAACTTCCCCTCCTGGTTCTACTGTGACCTCAAAAAGAATTGTCTACTTACTTGAGTTTTCTTCTTGCTATTTTGAATAATTTGTAAGGTTTGCAACAGAGACTAATAGTTCTCTAGTTTAGCAAAGTAGCGTGACACATGCCTTAATTTCAGCACTTGGGAGGCAGAAGCAGGCAAGTTTCTGTGATCTGGAAGCCTGCTTGGTCTCCATCGTGAGTTCTAGGCCAGCCAGGGCTACCTGGTGAGACCCTGTCTCAAAATAACAATAAACGAAAACCCATATTCTTCTAGTTTAACTCCCTGAGCTGTGAGTTTCTATTTAAGACACTTTAAAATGCAGAATCTGTGATAGATGGCCAACTGGTAGATGCCAGATCTAGTGTGCTCCAAGATCAGATGTCAGGACAAGAGCGGCAATGCAAATTACCTGGACCTTTCTCATCAGTCCCCATGTGACAGAGCAAGACAAGTCAAATTCTTGATAAGCACCACCTTTCTGGCCCCATGATCATCGTCTAGCTATGAGACAACAGAAGTTGGGGGTGGGGTCCTCTGCTGCAGCTCAGAACCCCTCCAGACTGACCTTTGAAGAGAATAATTGCAGTGCAGTCTTGGCCAGTCAGGCTCTGGTTGACTTGTGCTGTCAGGGTCTCACAGACCTCCTCCTGGTCCAAACACATTAAATCCAACCCCATTCAGCACACTCTCTGCCCCTTTAGACTCAGCCATCTGCACGTCGAGGTGTGAAGGGATAGTTAGTACATCGTCAAAATCTCCAACAGATTTTGTTGTTAACAAAACTGACAAATCCATGCATTTTAAAGGGAAGAAGGGTGGGGTGGGCAAGCACACATTTTACTTTCAACATTTCATCAGAAATGAGTGAGACACAGACTGGAGATAAAAATCTTGGCTGTGAAATAATGACTTAGTACCCAAGTTTCTGTTCTGTCACAGGGATGGAAAAGGAGGGCTGTTTCTTACCAGAGTTCCAGGGCCTCTCAGTACGGCTGGATTGGAACAAAAATTGAGATTCCCCTGTCTCCTTTTCAGATCGTCTGCAGCACACACACCAGACGTGGTATTTCAGGAGAGCCACCGAGAATGTTGTATGCCATATGGAGAATGCATTGCATCTTAAACTTGGCCATCATTCGTGACCACACACATGCTTAGGAAATGGAATATACATACACGATTTGGATAGTCATGGTACAGCATTATGCTTGGGGAAATAAAATAAAAGGCAGTAGAATTAAGGGAAGACCCCCAAATTCTCAGCTGGGTGTGTCTGTTTCAGAAATACCAGCTACAGACCGCATTTTGACCAGATCTTATCCATTAACTAGTATCACAGGTGTTCTGAGACCTGTGATTCCCAGCAGGATTTAATTTATACCACTTTTAAAGTTTATTCCATCCAAGTTCCTGTCTTGCTTTCCTATTAAATACATCAATAAAGTTCAAATACCTCACTATGAATTATAAGGCTCCCTATTACCAGGTTATTCTACCACTCTAGACCCCCCTTTCTAATATTTCTCCCCTGAATCATCACTATTTTCTTTCTTTCCTTCCTTCCTTTGTGCTTTCTTTCATTCATTCTTTTTTGTACACAAAGGACATATTTATTGTCAGGTGCACTTCACGTTTAAACAGCTTTATAAGAAAGGTTACAACAGAAAAATTTTTGTTGTCTTTTTTTTTTTTACTTTTGAGATTATAAGTCCAACATTTCTCCCTTCCATTTTCTCCTGACAAGCCTTCCATATACCTCTCTCCACTCTCCTTCTAATTCATGGCCCTTTGTTTGTTTGATTTTTTTTACATGAATTGTTATTGTATGCATAGATGTATATACACATGTACTCATAAATATAACCGACTCAGTCTGTATGATGTTACCTGTATGTATGTTTTTAGGACTGACCATTTGGCACTGGACAACCAGTTGGTGTGCTCTTTCCTGGGGAAGAGCACCTCTTCCATTCCCAGCCTTCTTCAGTTGTCTATAGTTGGTTGTGTTACTCTCTGTCCCTAGTATGTGTCAATATCAGCCCCTCAGGGCCTTTGCATTTCCTCTTCCTTCTGCATGGAATGTGCCCCTCCCACTCCAAGACGGGCTGCTTCTCGTTCTTTAGGACTCCTCTGTTTGCGGTCACAACTCCCAAGAGGTCTTCTCCAATTCTCCATTGTGTCTTATCTCTCCCATTGCCTCACCACATGGGTTTTCCGTTTCTTTTTTCCAATCACTTCTGGGTCGTTTGACAGCCCAGCAAATTGTTTTTTCCTCTCCTCAGCAAACATGCAAACCTCATGGCTACAGAGATATGGTTGGTACTACTCAAGACCCCATACCAGCTAGGTTCACATCTGTAGACCCAAGGGCTACTTAGGTGTGGGCCACAAGTCCCAGTGTATGTCTTGAGAGTCAGATCAACAGAACAACTAAACTACAAAAATGTTCTGCTGAACAAGGGTCTCCCACCAAGTCATGAATCTGCTTCCTCTGGATCGCTTGTTTTCTGAAAAGATGAGATAGCAAAATCATTTTAATCTCACAGAATTTTCTATATCAACTCATTTTCTCAGTCCCTCTGCTCAGTCCTTTGGGTCCCACCCTCAGCCTGATTCAAATCTCACATGCCCTAGGAAGCCCCTCAACAGCTCTCTCCTCCCTGCTTCCCTGGACTCTTCTTCTAGCTGCCTTCCACACCAGTAAGCATTCAGATTCATCCCAGTTTATGAACTCACATCTGCAATATCTTTCCCAAGAAAAGATAGTTCTTCCTTTTTTTTAGTGTGTTGATAGGGAGAGTGTGGCAGGTAAGTATGTGTTTCTGGGTATTTAAGAATAAAATTTTATGAGTTTATTTTCCTTTAACTTTTTTCTCACTTTATTAACTGATATGGGAAGTCACCCAGGTCTTCCATGAAATATGCTTGCCATCATATTTAGGGAGGAAAGCAATGAAGTCATATCTGTCCGTGGCCTCAAGTCTAAAATACCCAATGAATATGCCCACTCAGAATGGTCTGTTGCTACAGTAGATGACACTCAGTTCCATGGCTCTGCATGAAGTCCCATGCTACTGTGAACTCCAGGGTTGGATGAACATCCTGGTGTTCTCTACCAGTCTGCTACCCTAGCATGAATCTGCAGAGCCATGTTTCAACACAGTAGCCAGTTGACAACAAGAGTTTGTCATCCCATCCTTTCTCCTGTCTCAGCAGGAGCAAAACTTAACAGCCCCCAAAACTTTGACAAGATATCTATGGACAGACGGAAGGTGTTTGGCCTTTATCGTGGTGTTGAGGTATTGCAGTGGTTGGGCCAGCCCAGCCAGGATGCTCAGTGCCCCAAACTAGGTGACAAGAGCTGCCTGTATTCCTGCTGTTTCCATGGAGGCCAAACGTTTGTGTGGGTTCAGTAATCCCCAGCAGCAGCTCACACTGAGGTGCAGTCTCCCTCACTTGGTGCCAGGAGAATGCACCCAGTGAACTCTCAGAGCATGCTGCTCCCCAGCTCCTCATGCTCTGAACCTGGAGGTTTCACAATCAGCCTGACTCGGTGACCCATGCTACTTGATTACATAATTAAACAGGGATTTATAGTCTGCTGTGTCCACACTTGTGGGGTGCTGAGCTGTACAACACAGGAAAGGAGATGGAGTAGAGGCCAGTGAAACCCTCTAAGTCAGTGGTTCTCAACCTTTCTAATGCTGAGACCCTTTAATAAAATTCCTCGTGTGCGACCCCCCAACCATAAAATTATATTTGTTGCTACTTCATAACTATCATTTTGCTACAGTTATGAATCATAAATATCTGTTTTCTGTTGGTTTTAGGTGACCTCCCCGTGAAAAGGTCGTTAGATCACCCAAAGGGTCTCGACCCACAGGTTGAGAACTGCTGCTCTAGATTGTCATTTCCTCCCTGCTGCCCTCACATCTGTCTCAGTACTTCTCTGCCTTTTCCTCATGGCGTTTCCATAGCTCGTGGAGGAAACATGAAGGCCAACCACGGGGGGGGGGGGGGGGGGGGACATGCTGTCTGGGCTGTGGGATGCTAGACTGGCTTAGATCTCCTATGTCTTCCCCACAGAATGACGAGGCCTCACTGCTGCTGTCCTGTGGACACCCCTGTACACAGGTCAGTGACTGCATCTGGGCCCAGCAAGCCCACACCTGGGTTGGGGGCATGCAGTAAGGAGTATGTGAAAAAAAAAAAAAGCTGAAAAATTAAACCTCCAAAGAGGATGTTTTAATTCAAGAGACTTCCCACTGAAGAACCCCACTACAAAACTAGAGACAAACACGTCGTTTTTGTCAAAAGCTGTTGCCGAGAAACATGTCAAAGCCTTGTGCTTTTCATTCAAACTTAGCGTTAAGTCGCAGCTAATGCGCTCATTAAGGCTGCTAAATAAGATTCTAGTCAGAACAGAACTATGTGGAGCTCTAAAAAAAAAAAAAAATCTCCTGGTGTGGTCTGTCCCTGGCTTTGCGGTGCCTTGTTCTGATGGCAGCGTAACTCTGAGCTTGCTCTTGCCTTGTCCACTCCCTGCTCCTAACCATTTTATTTAATGGGTATTTCATGTCTTCCTAAAGAAAAGGGGTGGGGGGGTGGCGAGATGTCACCGTCGTCACCAGTGGCCTCTGGTGGAATGTCACCGATTCACTTGCAGCTGGGACACACAAATAGCAGCATGGTAGAGCCAAGGTTGTCTCTGCTCCTCCAAGTGACGGGTCAGAGGGAGCGCCCAAATTACTTTCAGCTTCCAGCGAGCGGTCTGTCCTTTAATGCATTTCCAGCCAGACTCTGCCGCGTTATTATTTTATAGCACATTGGGAAAGTGACGGCCAGGTCATTTTCTAAAGCCTGGGTCTTCTTGCTCTTATTCGTCAGCTCCGCTCTTGACCTGTAGCTTAGAGCCTTCTTTCATTTTCCAAGTTAAGAAGAGGGGTAAATGAAACGGATCTCCAATTTATTTCCAAGAATAGATGGTATTTTGCAGTGATTGGAATCAATTTAGAAATGAACGCAGTTGCTTTTCCTGTTGCTTCGCTCGTGAAGAGAGAGAAGTATTTCTTCGACCAAGATAATCCTGAATCGGGGCATGGCGTCTGGTCCAGTGCTGTGGGCTTATGTCACTACAAACACCTCTCAGGCCTTGGTCAAGGAAATGGAACCACTGCGGTGGCTTGTCCCGGAATCCCCCTTCTTTCTTCTGACCTTGCCCTGGTCCCCCACGTGACTTCTGCACAGCAGAGACCCTTGTGTCTCGGAGGAGGAAGAGCACCAAGCCCGGCGTTGGGGTGAACTCAGGACAGGCTTTTCACCATCGCCCTCGGTTTCCTAGGTCTTGACGCTGTAAGCCAGATGCTTAATGCTATTTTAATGCAGTTGTTTTGTGTGTGTGAATAATATGTTTCTTCTGCCAAACCTCAAAGCCTTGGAACTAAGATCTCATAAAAATGCCTAGAGTCCAAAGCTAATAGCAGTTATTCATCTGTTATGGGAGAAAGCCTAAGCACTGTCGTGTTGACACTCTTTACCTCTCCATGGAGTCGGGTGACGTGAACCTGGTGAGGGGAGGCTGAAGTGATAGACACCGGCACACCTGCTGTGGCCCACCCGGCTGCTTCAGGTCACTGTTCTACCTACATGTCTCTCTGTCTTCAACCTCAAGAGGAAGCTACCTCTTCTGTGGTTCCCAACTCTGAGAATAGCCTCACCTCCTAGCCAAGTTAAAAGCTTTAGAAGTTATGTTTAACACCCTCCCCACCTCCAATTCCCTATCATTTTCACTATATATCATTTACACACTCATTCAATAATTATTCTGTTATGCATAATGATAAAATACTGGCTTGCTCGTAAGAGGCAGTGTGGAGAGAGTCGCAGTTAAGGCTGTGAACTCGGGGGTCTTGGATGTGGTGCCATGGTAGAACAGTGTCCTAGGATGTGTGGGGTTCTCAGTCTAATCTACAGCACTGAAAAAAAAAAAGAATGCAATATCCAAAGCTAAATGGACTGCGTCGCATCTCGCTGCTACCACCCATGAGATCTGTGAGTCGCGGCGAGATCAGCTTGTCTTCCTCTGTGCAATGTTACAGGTACTTTTTGACACATAAATGACTTAACATTTTAAATGCAGTAGTGCTTGGCATCTGATAAAGGCCATAAGTATGTAAACAATAAAATAACAAGGGGGAGAAAGCAGACAGGCTTTACACAGACTGGGGACATGGCTGTCTGAGGAGAATAGCCACGTGAGCTCTGGGAATCCTGAGATGGGGTCTGAAAACCAAAGTGCTCCAGAGCTCCCCTTGCTCAGCCCTCTTTTGCTAAGATCTCAGAAACAACCTGGAATTGTCTTCCTTCCCTGCTCTCCGCCAAGACTACAGCCAGTGAGGTTTCCCTAATGAGTTAGTTTAACTTTATTTCCTAAGCGTCTTTTTTTTTTTTTGGTTTTTCAAGACAGGTTTTCCGTGAGTAGCTTTGCGCCTTTCCTGCAACTGTAGACCAGGCTGGCCTCGAACTCACAGAGATCCGCCTGCCTCTGCCTCCGGAGTGCAGGGATTGAAGGTGTGTGCCACCACCGCCTAAGCGTTATTCTTTAGTGGCCCCTGAGGCCAGCCCAGGCTTCTGTCCTAATCCCTCAGTGGCTTCTCAGGCCTGCATCATTTTCCTTCCATCAGTATCTCATTCCTCTTCATCCTCATCTTCACACCTGGAACACACCGACACCAACTTTTTTTCCGGCCCAGAAGTTATGTTTAACACCCTCCCCAACTCCAACTCCTAACCCCTCAGTGGCTTCGTGAGAACTTTCTGCACGTCTCTGTGTGTGCCACAGTTTCTTTTTTTTTTTTAATTTATTTTGCAATACAATTCAGTTCTACATATCAGCCACGGATTCCCTTGTTCTCCCCCCTCCCGTCCCCCTCACCTTCCCCCCAACCCCCCCCCATTCCCATCTCCTCCAGGGCAAAGCCTTCCCCACAGACTGAGGTCAACCTGGTAGACTCAGTCCAGGTAGGTCTAGTCCCCTCCTCCCAGGCCGAGCCAAACAATCCTGCATAGGCCCCAGGTTTCAAACAGCCAACTCATGCAATGAGCACAAGATCTGGTCCCACTGCCTGGATGCCTCCCAAACAGATCAAGCCAATCAACTGTCTCACCCATTCGGAGGGCCTGATCCAGTGGGGACCCCTCAGCCATTGGTTCATAGTTCATGTGTTTCCATTCATTTGGCTATTTGTCCCTGTGCTTTATCCAACTTTGGTCTCAACAATTCTCGCTCATATAAACCCTCCTCATTCTCGCTAATTGGACTCCCAGAGATCCACCCGGGGCCTAGTCATGGATCTCTGCATCCAGATCCCTCAGTAGTTGGATGAGGTTTCTAGCACAACAATTAGGGTGTTTGGCCATCCCATCACCAGAGTAGGTCAGTTCGGGCTGTCTCTCGACCATTGCCAGCAGTCTGTTGTGTGGGTATCTTTGTGGATTTCTGTGGGCCTCTCTAGCACTATGAAAGGCGAGGGTTGAGGGAAAGAGAGCTTGGGGGAGCGGGAGATCCCAGCTGGATCAACAACAGAGAGGGAGAACAAGGAATAGGAGACCATGGTAAATGAAGACCACATGCGAATAGGAAGAAGCGCCACAGTTTCTTACCCCTCTGCTTGCTGTGTTTCCTGTCATTTCCTGTCTGTTCCACCTACCCTTTCTCTTGTGGATCCCTATTATCCTCTAGACCTTACTCTCGCAGGGCAGCCTCCTCTGGGTGGACAAGGAGACTTTTCCCTGCCTGTGTTCACTTACAGTCCTCCAGGGACAGGAGTCTCTTGTCACAATCGTCCGCTTATTGATCCTATAATTTTTCTTTGTATTTTGCATACCTCTCAGTGGTCTTCTTTGATCATGAGTCCATCTTCGGAATTCAGACGGTGCCTGACCCATGGCAGGCTTACAAACAATACATTAAGAATCGAACTGTGTTCCCCAACCCCTCACATTTGTATGTAGGCTTGATCCCAGCACCTCAGAATACGGTCTTCTTTGTTAATAAATAAAGTTTGCCTGGAGATCAGAGGTCATGGCCAGCCATAAACAAAAGTCAGGCAGTGGTAGCACACACCTTTAATCCAATCACATGGCAGGCAGAGTCTCTGTGTGTTCAAGGACACACTAGGGAACAGCAAAGCGTGGTGACACATGCCTTTACTCCCAGTGCCAACCACAGAGACCTGGAGGTCTGTATAGACAGGCAGTGACAGGGAAGTGAGGTGTCTGGGTTAAGAGCCAATGAGAAGGCAGAACAGCAAGGCAATAAAGGCGCAGGTTAGACAGGAAGAAGCTCTCTGGCTTGGGAAGCTATGGCGGCGTGGTGAGCTAAGGTTAGCTGGTGGCTCTCACTATTTCTCTGATCTCTAGGGCTTTCACCCCTGTATTTGGCTCTGTGTTTCTTATTTAATAAGACTGTTTAGAAATTCGTCTACACTTCATCAAACACCGTGTGACTGTGGCAGAGGTAATTAGTGAGTTTGAGGTCATATTGGAGTGGAATGGGTTCCTAATTCAATATGACTGAGGCACTTACAGAAAGACACCATGGAGAGAAACACACGGGGAGAGGGACAATGATGTGAAGGGCACATCCAGGCCCAGGGCCTCCCCTCACACCTTACAGAAGAAACTGGCCCCTTGATGCTTGGTTCTTGAACTTCCAACCTTCATCCCGAACTGTGAAAGATTAACAGCAAGCTTCTTTCATAAAGCCCCCTAAGGCGTGGGACTTTGTAACAGCAGGCCAAGCAATCTCAGATAGCATTTCTTCAAGTGCTGGGTTTCCAACACTTTTCAATGCGTTCCTCTATGTGAAGACTTAGCTTGTACGCAAATACACCCCCAAACAGCTCCGTATTCCACAAATAGATGGACCCACCAGAACAGCAGGGCCAGGTGGCTGTTAGTCACTGTGGCAAGCAGCCAAGGGTAGCTTCCTACAA